TCACGAGAGCAGAGTAAAGGGGCAGAATCCCCTCCCTCGCCCTGCTGGCCACGCTTCTCTTGATGCAGCCCAGGGCACCGTTGGCTTTCTAGGCTGCCAGCGCACATTGCCGGCTCATGTTGAGCTTCTCATCCACCAGCACCCCCAAGTCCTCCTCCTCAGGGCTGCTCTCCAGCCACTCTCCGCCCAGCCTGTACTTGTGTTTGGGATTGCCCCGACCCACGGGCAGGACCTTGCGCTTGGCCTTGTTGAACTTCACGTGGTTCACGCAGGCCCACGTCTCCATCCTGTCGAGGTCCCTCTGGATGGCATCCCTGCCCTCCAGCGTGTCAGCCACACCACCCAGCTTGGTGTCATCGGCAAACTTGCTGAGGGTGCCCTCAGTCCCGCCGTCCACGTCGCCGACAAAGAGATTGAACAGCACCGGCCCCAGTGCCGACCCCTGAGGCACCCCACTCGTCACTGGTCTCCGCCTGGACATCGAGCCGTTGACTGCAACTCTTTGAGTGCGTCCATCGAGCCAGTTCCCCAACGAGTGGCCCTTCTGTCAAATCCACGTCCTTCCAATTTAGAGACAAGGACATCACGCGGGACAGCGTCGAATGCCTTGCGCAAGTCCACGTAGATGATGTCAGCTGCCCGTCCTGCGTCCGCCGACGCCGTTCCGACGCCGACTTCTCTAGAGAACGCGCAGGTACTCGTCGGGGATCCCAGAAATCCAGGAACTCGAGGATCTGATCTCAACAAAGGACGGGAAACGAGAGGAGAAGTTGAGGTATGAAACCATACGGCGTTCATTCCGCGCATCTTCACGTCTGGACCCAGAGCTCGCGGTCGCTCCGGGCCGCCCGTCGGCGGGAACAATTCTGTGTCGCCCGTAATTAACACTTCTGGAGAGACGCCCTCAGGTGGTTTGTGCTGGAGGGGGTGTAACCCCATCGTGGGGTGTCCCCCGTGTCCCTCTGCGTCCCCCACATGTCCCCCAACATCCCTGTGTCCCTCCGTCCTTCCCCCATGTCCATGTGTCCCCCATGTCCGAGTCTCCTCCCATCCCAGCGTCCATGTGTCCTCCATACGCCTCCACGTGTCCCCCACATCCCCCATGTCCCTCCATGTGTCCCTCATGTCCTCGTGTCCCTCCACGTGTCCCCCACATCCCTCCACATGTCCCCCACAACCCCTGTGTCTCTCCATGTGTCCTCCGTGTCCTTGTGTCCCTCCACGTGTTCCCCATGTCCATCTACACGTCCCCCACATCCCCATGTCCCTCCGCGT